ATAGGGTGAAGGAGGGAGAATAAAGGGGAGGTAGAAGGGATGAGGGAAGAGGGAGGGAAAAAGGAGAGAGAGAGGGAGGGAGAGGGAGACGCAGGGAGACGGCCTACCGGAAAGACGGTCCTGCCCGGTCCACTGGGGCCGCCTGGTAATGCGAGGGAGAAAGGGAGAGAGAGGTAGGAAGGAGATACTGGAGGGAGGGACAAAGGGAGGAACGAGGGAGGGAGTGATAGAGAGAAGAGAGAGAGAGAGAGAGAAGAGAGAGAGAGAGAGAGGAGAGAGAGGAGAGGAATGGAAAGGAAGGGAGGGGATTTCTCCCCCCCCCTTCCCGCCCCTACAGGTTCCCCATGATTTTACCCATTACCAATTTCTCCCCCCCCTTCCCCCCTACAGGTTCCCCATGAAATTTAACCCATTACCAATTTCTCGCCCCCCCCACCCCCTACAAGGTTCCCCGATGAACTTAACCCATTTACTTAAACCCCCTCCCCCCCTCCCCCCCTCAGGTTCCCCTGATTTACTACCCTTCATAACCCCCTCCCCCCCCACCCCCTACAGGTTCCTCTGAATTTACCCATTAACTTACCCATGAACTTACCCATGACTTTACCCTATGACTTACTCCATTTAACTTATTACCCATGAACTACCCATTACTACCCATGACTTACCCCATGAAACTTCCCATTACTCCCATTAACTTCCCATTCCTACCCATTACTTACCCAATAACTACCATTAACTTACTCCATAAAATTTTCCCATACTTCCCATTAACTTACCCATTAAACTTCCCATTAACTTACTCCATTGAAACTTACCCATGACCTTACCCATTACCTTCCCATTAACTTACCATTAACTTCGCCCTGAATTTACCCATTACTTACCCATTACTCCCCCCCCTACAAGTTCGCCAGGTCTCCGCGGTCCCCGGCCGCCGATGAGTTGTAGGTTTCCTCCCTGGCCCCTAGGGAGGACGCAGGAGACCAAGGCTTTACCGGTGAAAGGACGGCCGCCCGGTCCACTGGGCCTCCTGTAAGGTGAGATGGGAGAAAGGGGGATAAGGGAGGAGAGAGGGAGGGAGAGAGATAGGGGGGAGGTAGTATAAAGGAGAGAGAGAGAGAGGATAGAGGAGATGGAGAGAGGAATGGGAGGAAGTGAAGGGGAGGGGAAGGGAGATAGAGAGAAGGGAGGGAGGGAGTGATGGAGGAGAGAGAGAGGGAGAGCGAAGAGAGAAATGGAGGAGGAAGGTAGTGTGAAGTGAGAGAGGGAGAAGGAGGGAGAGGGTGGGGAGGGAAGAGAGGGAGGTAGGGAGAGGAGCCGCAGGGAGACCAGGGGGCCTACCGTGAAGACGGCCTGCCCGGTCCACTGGGGCCTCTTGTTAAGTGAGATGAGACAAGGGATAGAAGAGGAGGAGGGATATAAGGGAGGAAGGGCGATAAGGAGAGAGGGAAAAGGGAGAAGAGAGAGAGAGGAGAGAGAGAGAAGAGAGGGAGGAAAGGGAGGGAAGAGAAGGGAGAGGAAAAGGAGGGAGAGAGGAGAAAGGGTGAGGGGGAGATAAAGGTAGGGAGGAAGCGAGGGAGGGAAGGAAGTTGGGAAAAGGAGAGGAGAGGGGGAGAGAGGGAGCGCAGGGGACAAGGCCTAATCCGGGAAGACTGGCCGGCCCGTCCACTGGGCCTCCTGGTAAGTGAGAGTGAGAAGGGATAGAGAGGGAGGGAGGGCAGATAAGGGAGGGAGGGAAAAAGGAGGGAAAGAGGGAGGGAGAGAGAGAGAGAGATAGAGGAGAGAGAGAAGAGAGAGAGAGAGAGAAGAGGAGAGAGAGAGAGAATGGAGAGGGGGAGGGAGGGAGAGAGAGATAAAGGGAGGGAGAGGGTGAGGGAGGGAGAGAGAGAGAGGACGGGAGAGAGGGAGACGCAGGTAGCCAGCTTACGGGGAAAGCGGGCCTGCCCGGTCCCACTGGCGTCCTGGTAAAGGGGTTGAGAGGGAGAAAGGGAGATAAGGGGAGGGAGGTGAAAAATTGGGTGAAAAAGGGAGGGAAAGAGGGAGGGAAAAAGAGGGCGAGAGATAGAGAGAGAAAATTAGCAAATGGGCGGCGTGGGTGAAATGGGTCTCAATGAGGGGAGACGACGTAGGGGAACATGGACGGCAGGAGATGTGGACGGGAGGCGAGAGAGTGCGAGTTTAGTGTTGATGGATCGAGACTACAAGGGATCTTCTGAAGGCGAGATGCTGGAGCGACAGTAGCAGCGGGTGAAGAGCGGGCAGGCGATAAGGGAGGGTGAGAGGAATGCAGGCGTAAGGGAGGGAGAGACAGAGAGAGCGAGAGGCGACAAATCTCCAGCTCCAGAAGAGAAGGAGAGCGAGAAGAGAGAGAGAGCGAGCGAGACGGCGCATAGAGTATAGAGAGAGAGAGAGAGAGAAAGAGAAGAGAAGAGAGGAGAAGAGAGAGAAAGAGAGACAAAGATCCAGACCGCGAAACGATATAGAAAACACCCCAAAGAACCACCCAAAAAAACAAAAAAAAACAAAAAACAATACCAATCCCCACCCAAACTAACTCACACCCCCACCTTTCTTCCCCTCCCCCCGCCTTCCCCCCACCCTATCACCCACACGTTTCCCCGGGTCGGCCAGGTCCGACGGCAACCAGACTGAGGGTGACAAAGCAACATGGGCTTGCAATTGCAGGTTTTCCAGGTACACAGTCAAGACGGAGGCCAGGTCTGTCGGACTACCATGGCCTAAGGGAATCAGGGCTTGCCAGGTCAGCCGGATTTCGGTCCCGGTACCAGAAGGCTTCGAGGAGGGAAGGGATAATAGAGGATTCGTTGGTGAGTAGAGAGAGAGAGAGGATAAAGATGGGGAGAGAGAGAGAGAAAGATCAAGTAGATGGAGAGGGGAGAGAAGGGAGAGGAGAGAGAGAGAGAGGGGAGAGAGAGAGAGAGAGAGAGGAGAGAGAGGAGAGAGAGAGCGTAGAGAGCGAGATGCTAAAGATAGGTAGCTAGAGATAGAGAAGATAGATAAAGATAGATAGAGATAGATTAGCTAGATATATAGAGAGAGAGAGGCGATAGAGGGATAGCTATAGATAGAGATACGAGGGAGAGAGAGAGAGAGAAGCAACGAAGCTAGTATAAGCTACGATAGATAAAGATGATTATAGATCAGAAGAGAGGGAGAGATTGAATGATAGACAGATGGAGAGATTAAGATTATACTACTAGCCTAGATTATATAGATATAGATACGATACCGGAGAGAGGAGAGAGTAGATAAAGATAGATGTTAGAATAGCTAGATAGATTTATGAGGAGATGAGAGATTAAAGAGAGATGAGAGAGAGAGAGACCAGAGCTAGCCAGCAGAGAGAGAGGGAGAGAGAGCAGAGAGAGAGACAGAGATCAAGAGATTGATAGATACGACAGATATATAGCAGATTGATAGATAGATAGATAGATAAGATAGTTATTGGTACAGATAGAATGCATTTGATTGATGAGACATAGTCGACAGATATATATATATATCATATATATATATATTATATATATATATATATATACTATATATATATATATATTAGAGAGGAGAGAGAGTGAGAGAGCAGAGAAGAGAGCGAGAGATGAATAGGATAGACAATACAGATAGATAGAAAAGAGAAATGAGCAGATAGATTAGATGCAAACTTTAAATACATAGATTTAGATAGACAGATAGATTCAATTCAAATTAAATACTCATTAATTTCTTGAATTTATTTAAATAGAATAAAAATCCTTTAGATTTTTTATTTATTTTTCTTAATGTTTCATAATCAATCGTTTAATCTCCCTAATTACTCATTAATTTTTTATCTCCCTTAATTATTAGAATAATTTTATTTAATCTCCCTTAATACTCAATTATAATCTCCCTTATTACTAAATTATGATCTCCCCTTAATTACTCTTATGATCTCCGCTTAATTACTTTATCTATTTAATCTCCCTTAATTACCTCAATTGGATCGGATTCCCTTAATTACTCAATTATACTCCTAATTAATCATCATATCTCCCATTAATTACTCAATTAACCTACTTAATCTTCCTCCCCCCCCTTTCTAGGCCGCCGGGCATCCCAGCGCAGCGGCAGATAAGGGCGAGCGGTGGACTCCCCCGTGCCCTAGGGGAACCACCCCTGGTCGCGAACGGCCGCCCTGGTTGCCGCCCCGGGTCCCTCAGACAGGGCTGCCGGCCCTAATGCAGGGCGGCTACGGCTCCCCCTGGCCTGTGGTGGAGAAGGGGGGCCCCTGGTCCCCAGGCTGCCTGGCCTTTAGCGGAGACCTGGACTAAGGGCAGTGACGGCGTCGTTGGAATTCCCAGGCACGGATGGAGAGAAGGTGAGAAAGAGGAGAGGGTGGACAAGGGGCGCGAAGAGGGATGAAAAGTAGTAGAGAGAGGGAGGAGAAAGGGAGAGAGAGGGAGGAAGGGAGAGAGAAGGGAGGAAGAGTGGGGGAGATGGAGGGGAGGGAGAGAAGGTAGAAGGAGAGAGAGAGGGGAGGAGAAGGGAGAGGGAGAGGGAGGGGAGGAGGGAGAGAAGGAAGAGGGAAGAGAGAGGGAGGAGGAAAGGGGAGGGAGAGGGGGGAGGAGGGAAGGTAAGGGGGAAGAGAGAAGGGAGGAGAAGGTGGAGAGGGAGAGGGATGGAGGGAGAGAGGGAGAAAGGGAGAGAGAGAGGGAGAGAGGGCAGCGGGGATTGCAGGGAGATGAAGTTTCGAAAGTAGAGAGAGAGGGAGACAGGGAGAGGGATAATGGAGGGATGGCGCGAAGGGATAAAGTTAGATATAATGGCGGTGGAAGGTAGAGGAGTAGGGCGGGAGGTGATTGAGGATACGGTAGAGGAGAGGGAGACGTGATCGCAGGTTGAGTTTAGTGCAAGAAGGGAGACAAACAGGGATAGGGAGTCCCGTCATTGATACGTGCAGCTGAATGTGAGGAATGGTAGGGAAATAAGGGAGCAAAATGGCGCATTTAAGAGGGAACGACTGGAGAGTATAGGGCTTGAGGAGATGGCGGTAGAGACGGGAGAAAGGGAGAGAGAGAGGGACAGCGCCGTGCTGCTTAGATGAGGATGGAGGTCCAGCATGTATGCACAAAGTATCGCTCAATGCGGTATGGCGGATTCTGTTAGATAGTGAGAAAGGGAGATTTAACGAATGGTTGATAAAAGGTCTACTTGCGACTGGGGCGAAGAGGGATGCGAGAGAAAAACATACACATACACCGGAATACACACACACACACACACAACGCATAACCTACACACACACGCACAGACACACCACACACGCCAGACTACGTACACACAATAAACTACACAGCATCCCAACACACCAACACCCAAACCGCACGTCCCCTACTCCCCTCCCCCCTTGGTCATTATTATTTATTATTTAAATTATTATTATTTTTTTTTTTATATTATTATTTTATTTATTTATTTATTCTAAAGAAATCATCATTATATTATTATTATTATCATTTATTATAATTTTTTATATTATTATTTTCTTTCTTTCTTTCTTTCTTTATCTTTTTCTTTCTTTCCTCGTCGTTCTTATTCTTTATTTATTTAAATCTTTTTTTTTCTTTTTCCCTCTTTCTTCTTTCTTTATTTATTTATCGTTTTTTTTTCTTTTCTCTGTACTTTTTCGCTTTCTTTCTTTATCTTTTTTTTCTTTTCTCTTCTTTCTTTATTTATTTTATTTATCTTTTTTCCAGGGCTATTATTTTATTTTATTTTATTTTATTTATTTTCTTTATTTTATTACATTTTCTTTTTTATCTTATTTATTCTATTTTGTTTTATTTTAGTTCATTTTATTTTATTTTATTTATTCTATATATTTCATTTTATTTATTTATTTTATTTTATTTTATTTTTTGTTTTATTTTATTTATTCTATTCATTTCATTTTATTTAATTTATTTATTCTATTTTATTTATTTCATTTTACTTTATTTTATTTTATTTATTTTATTTATTCTATTTTATTTATTTTAATTTATTTTATTTTATATTATTTTATTTTATTTTATTTTATTTATTTTATTCTATTTTATTCATCTTTATTTTATTTTATTTTATTTTATTTATCTTTATTTTTTGTATTTCATGCTATTTATCTATTCTATTTATATTAATTTTATTTTATTTTATTTATTCTATTTATTTAATTATTTAATTTATTTCTTCTATTTTTTTATTCTATTTTTATTTATTTTAATCTTATTCTATTTTATTTATTTTATCTTATTCTATTTTATTTATTTTATTTATTTCATTTTAATTTATTTTATTTTATTTATTTTATTTATTCTATTTTATTTATTCTATTTTATTTAATTTATCTTATTCTATTTTATTCATTTTATCTTATTCTATTTTATTTATATTATTTTATTTATTATTTTTTATTTATTTATTTATTATTTTTTTATTTATTTATTTATTATTTTTTATTTATTTATTTATTATTTTTTTTTCCAGGGCTTATCAGGTCTTCCAGGTCTTCCAGGAGACGACTGTGACCCCATTCCAGGTCCGCCAGGCTTGCCAGGTCCTTCGGGGTTAAAGGGAGATAGAGGCTTCGACGGCAGGGACGGACCTAAGGGAAATCAGGGACTGCCAGGTGAGTGTTTTTTTTTAAGGGAGAGATAAAAGGGAGAGAGATAAAGGGAGAGAAGGAGGGAGAGATAGAGGGAGAAGGAGAGATAAAGGGAGAGATAAAGGGAGACAGAGGCTTCGACGGCAGGGACGGACCTAAGGGAAATCAGGGACTGCCGGGTGAGTGGCTGTGTTTTTGTTTGTCTTTGTTTGTTTTATTGAGATAGAGGGAGAGAGATAGAGGGAGAGGGAGAGGGAGAGAGAGATAGAAGGAGAGATAAAGGGAGAGATAAAGGGAGACAGGGGATTCGACGGCAGAGACGGACCTAAGGGAAATCAGGGACTGCCGGGTGAGTGGCTCTGTTTTTGTTTGTTTTTGTTTGTTTTTGTTTGTTTTTGTTTGTTTTTGTTTGTTTTTTGAGATAAAAGGAGAGAGATAAAGGGAGAGAGATAAAGGGAGAGATAAAAAGGTGAGAGATAAAGGGAGAGAGATAAAGGGAGAGATAAAAAGGTGAGAGATAAAGGGAGAGATAGAGGGAGAGAGAGATAGAAGGAGAGATAAAGGGAGGGATAAAAGGGTGAGAGATAAAGGGAGAGAGAGATAGAAGGAGAGATAAAAGGGTGAGAGAAGGAAGGAGAGGGAGAGATAGAGGGAGAGGGAGAGAGAGATAAAGGGAGACAGAGGCTTCGACGGCAGGGACGGACCTAAGGGAAATCAGGGACTGCCAGGTGAGTGGCTGTGTTTTTAAGGGAGAGAGATAAAAGGGAGAGATAAAAAGGTGAGAGATAAAGGGAGAGATAGAGGGAGAGAGAGATAGAAGGAGAGATAAAAGGAGAGATAAAGGGAGAGGGAGAGATAGAGGGAGAGAGAGATTAGAGGGAGAGGGAGAGAGAGATAAAGGGAGAGATAAAGGGAGACAGAGGCTTCGACGGCAGAGACGGACCTAAGGGAATCGTGACTGCCGGTGATGGCTGTGTTTTTAAGGGAGAGAGATAAAAGGGAGAGAGATAAAGGGAGCGATAAGGGGTGAGAGGAGAAGAAGGAGGAGAGGGAGAGATAAAGGAAGAGAGATAAAGGAGATAGATAAAGGAAGAGATAAGGTTGGAGGGAGAAGGAGGGAGCGGGAAGATAAAGGGAAGAGATAAAAGGGGATAGAGATAAAGGGAGAGATAAAAGGTGAGAGATAAGGGAGAGTAAGGGAGAGAGAGTATAATGAGAGATAAAGGGGATACGGGAAGGGAGAGATAGAGGGAGAGGAAGAGAGATAAAGGGAGACAGAGGCTTCGACGGCAGAGACGGACCTAAGGGAAATCAGGGACTGCCGGGTGAGTGGCTGTGTTTTTGTTTGTTTTATTGAGATAAAGGGAGAGAGAGAGGGAGAGATAAAGGGAGGGAGAGAAGGAAGTGGATGTGAAAGGAGAGAGAAGGAGAGAGGGAGGGATGAAAGGAGAGGGAAGGAGAGAGAGATAAAAGGAAGAGAGGGAAGGAGAGAGAGATAAAAGGAGGAGAGGGAAGGAGGGAGAGATAAAGGGAGATTGAGATACAGGTAGAGAATGAGAAACCACAAAGTTTACAAAACACACCCAAGGGTGAAAAACTCATACAAACAGAACAAGGACACAGTAAAAAGGAACAAAAAAAAAAAGAAAAACCCAAAAAAAACAAGAGGACGAAAAAAGGGCCCAGAAAGGGGACAATGGGGGAAAAGAACGACCAAAGTGGGAATAGACGGTGGAGAGAACACAAAACCGGGAAATGATGAAACACAGGAAGATCATAAAGAAAAAGGGCACCAACCAAGAAAGAAAGAGGGTGCAGAACAAGAAACGGGAAAAGAAAAAAATGCAAAAAAAACAAAAAAGGGGGAAACAACACGAAAAAGACAAAAAGTGTAAGGAACAAAAAGGAAAAAGAAAAAAAAGGGACAAAAGAAAAAAAAGAGCAAAACAAGAAACAGGACAAAAGACAAAAAAAAAACGGATGAATAAAGGGAACCATAAAAGTGACATAAAGAAATGGAAGAAACAAAAACGAGGGAGCAAATAAAACATCCAAAGTGAGTGAAACAGCGCCAAAAACATTGGACAGGTGGTAACATTGAAACATGTCCAACGTTTTCCGAACCAACTTGCGTTTCGTGAACCAAAAAGACCCCAAGTCCAACACAATAACACCACTACCACATCCCATCAATCAACGTCCGGACAAAACAACCACACAATAAAAGCACCGACCCCCACCAGACGCCAATCAACAAAATAGTCCGAACACAAACAATCAATCGCTTACCAGAAGAACAACTAAGCTCCAGCTATCTAATGCCCTACAGGTAACCACAATAACATCCAAACCACTTCACCACCGGATCATTACAAACAGTAAAGTCACATAACCAAGCACACAAACCCGAAAACACGATAAAGGAGAGAGAGAAGAGATACAGAAGAAGGAGAGGGGAAGAATGGGATGTCAGAGAAGAGATACAAAGAGCGAGAAGCGAGAGGATTAGAGAGAATGTCAACCCAACACCCTCACCTACATCAAATCAATCAATCAACCTTAAAACCCTATTCTAAACCTCCTACCATCCTAAACCGGACACCCTAACAACCACCAACGACACCTCTAACACTACCCTAACCCTCCTCCCTAAAATCACCCTAAAAACCGCCCAAAAAAACAGCCCTAAAACCAACCCTAAAACCCACCCTAACCCACCCTAAAACCACCCTAACCTACGCCTAACCTCCCTAAATCACCCTAACACCGACCTAAACCACCCTAAATCACCCTAAAAAAACCGCCTACAACCGCCCTAAAGACCACCTCTAAAACTCCCTACAACCACCCTAAAAACTCCCCTAAAACTCCCTAAAAACCACCCTAAACCCACCCTAAAAACCCCCCCTAAAACCCCCCTAAACCCACCCTAAAACCACCCTAAAACCTCCCTAAACCCACCCTAAACCCACCCTAAAACCGCCCTAAATATAATCACACCCCCTTTTTTTTTAAACAGGTCGCCCAGGTATCGACGGCTTGCCAGGTTCCATCCTAAACCCCCTAAAACCACCCTAAACCCACCCTAAAACCACCCTAAAACCACCCTAAAACCACCCTAAAACCACCCTAAAACTACCCTAACCCACCCTAAAACCGCCCTAAACCCCCTAAAACCACCCTAAAACCACCCTAAACCACCCTAAAACCACCCTAAACCCCCTAAAACCTCCCTAAACCATCCTAAACCACCCTAAATCACCCTAAAACTACCCTAAACCCACCCTAAAACCACCCTAAAACCATCCTAAAACCTCCCTAAAACCACCCTAAAACCACCCTAAAACCGCCCTAAACCCACCCTAAATCACCCTAAAACCACCCTAAAACCTCCCTAAAACCACCCTAAACCACCCTAAAACCTCCCTAAAACCACCCTAAAACCTCCCTAAAACCACCCTAAAACCACCCTAAACCACCCTAAAACCTCCCTAAAACCACCCTAAAACCACCCTAAACCACCCTAAAATCACCCTAAAATCACCCTAAAATCACCCTAAAAACACCCTAAAACTACCCTAAACCACCCTAAAACCACCCTAAAACCATCCTAAAACCGCCCTAAAACCACCCTAAACCCACCCTAAACCCACCCTAAACCCACCCTAAAACTACCCTAAACCCACCCTAAAACCACCCTAAACCCACCCTAAAACCACCCTAAAACCACCCTAAAACCACCCTAAACCATCCTAAAACCGCCCTAAACCTCCCTAAAACCACCCTAAACCCACCCTAAAACCTCCCTAAAACCACCCTAAAACCACCCTAAAACCATCCTAAAACCACCCTAAAACTACCCTAAAACCATCCTAAACCTCCCTAAACCATCCTAAAACCTCCCTAAAACCTCCCTAAAACCACCCTAAAACCACCCTAAAACCACCCTAAATATAATCACACCCCCTTTTTTTCTTAAACAGGTCGCCCTGGTATCGACGGCTTGCCAGGTCCCATCGGCGACAAGGGCAGTTCAGGTCCGCCAGGTTTCCCAGGTCCCGCAGGACTTAAGGGGAGTAAGGGAGAACCAGGTTTCCCTGGGATTAAGGGCGAGAGAGGATTTAATGGACAGGATGGTCTCCCTGGCGCTCAGGGCGAAAAGGTAAGGGAGAGAGAGAGATGAGAGGGAGATGAGAGGGAGGGAGAGAGAGAGAGATAAATGAGAGAGAGAGAGAGATAGATAGATAGATAGATAGATAGATATAGAGAGAGAGGGAGAGAGAGATGAGAGAGAGAGAGAGAAAGAGAGAGAGAGAAATGTGTGTGTGTGTGTGAGAGAGAGAGAGAGAGAGAGAGGGGGGGATGAGAGAGAGAGAGAGAGAGAGGATGAGAGAGAAGAGAGAGAGAGAGAGAGAGAGATAAATGATATATATATATATATATATATTATTCTATTATATATATATATATATATTAAGATGAGAGAGAAGAGAGAGAGAGGAGAGAGAGAGAGAGAGAGGAGAGAGAGAGATGAGAGAAGGAGATGATTATAGATAGATAGATAGTAATAGAGAGAAGAGGATAGAGATGATAGTGAATAGAGATAGATAGATAGATAGTAGATGGAGAGAGAGAGAGAGAGAGAGAGAGAGAGGGAGGAGAGAAAGAGAGAGAGGAAGATCAGAGAGAGAGAGACGAGGAGAGAGAGAGAGAGAAATGAAGAGAGAGGATATAGAGGAAAGAGAGAGGAGAAGAAAGAAGAGAGAGAAAGGGAACATCAAGAGAGAGAGAGGGAAAGAGAGGAGGAGAACTGCTAGAGAGAGAGAGAGAGAGAGAGAGAAATTGAGAGAGAGAGAGAGAGAGGAAATCAGAGAGAGAGAGAGAGAGAGAGAGAGAGAGAGAAGGAAGAGAGAATGAACGTTTTTATCTTTATTTTTGAATCTTATTTTCAATTTTAAATTAAACTCAATTGAACCCCTTATGTTCAGCCCTAATTTCCAGCCCTGATTTCACCCCCTTTTCTCCCCCCCGCCCGCAGGGCGACCAGGGCTTCCCCGGCGCCCCAGGCCAGCCCGGAATCGACGGGCTGAAGGGCACGCAGGGCCTGCCCGGGCCGAGGGGCCCCGTGGGCGTGCCGGGCGTGACCATGAAGGGCGAGAAGGGGCTGCCCGGCCTGCCTGGCAAGCCGGGGCGCAACGGCTTCGACGGCAGCCTGGCCCTAAGGGCGAGCTCGGCTTCCCTGGCCTTCCGGGGCAGAGGGGCGCGCCCGGCAACCCCGCGCCGCCGGGTCTGCCTGGGCCCAAGGGCGACAGGGGCTCCGAGGGGCAGCCGGGCCTGCCAGGGGCAGGACGGGCGGCCTGGGCCCGTGGGCGAGAAGGGCTTCCAAGGCCTGCCCGGGGAGAAGGGCCTGCCGGGCCCCCCCGGGCTGCCCGGCGCAGCTGGACTCAAGGGCGACGTAGGGCCCGTGGGGCCCCCGGGGCTGCCGTGCCCCCCGGGAGCCAAGGGCGAGAAGGGCAACAGCGGCCTGCCAGGCCTCCCGGGCGAGAAGGGCATCCCCGGCCCAAGGGCTTCGCCGGCATCCCCGGCCTCGTCGGCCGCCCAGGCGCCCCGGGCTCGAAGGGCGACCCCGGCCTGCCCGGACCCGCAGGGCGCCCCGGCATCCCGGGAACCAAGGGCCAGAGGGGCCTGCCGGGCCCCCAGGGCCCCATCGGCCCCGTCGGGCCCATCGGCAGCCCGGGCATGGACGGCATGCCCGGCGAGAAGGGCCAGCGCGGCTTCGACCGGCCTGCCCGGGCCCGAGGGACCCAGGGGCATGAAGGGAGACAGGGGCTTCGACGGCGCCCCCGGACTGCCGGTGAGTGAGGGAGAGCGAGCGAGAGGGAGAGGGATGGAGGGGGAGAGAGAGAGAGAGAGAGAGAGAGAGGGAGGGAGGGAGAGCGAGCGAGAGGGAGAGGGAGGGAGAGAGAGAGAGAGAGAGAGAGAGAGAGAGAGAGAGAGAGAGAGAGAGAGAGAGAAGAGAGAGAGAGAGAGAGAGAGAGAGAGAGAGAGAGAGAGAGGGAGGGAGGGAGAGCGAGCGAGAGGGAGAGGGAGGGAGAGAGAGAGAGAGAGAGAGAGAGAGAGAGAGAGAGAAGAGAGAGAGAGAGAGAGAGAGAGAGAGAGAGAGAGAGAGAGACTCTTGTAAAGAACGCGACCAATGTATTCCGTATTTCACCCTTTCTGCCTTATTTATCTCCCTTTTTCACCCTACGCATCACCCTTTCTACCTTTTTCACCCTTTTTCCTCCTCCCTTCACCCTTTCTCACATTTCTTATCTCCCTTTCTCACTGTTTATTCACCTCTTCCACTCTTTATCACTCTTTTCATCTCCCTTTTTTCACCCTATTCCTCCTCCCTTTTTATCACCCTTTTCACCCTTTTCCTCCTCCCTTTCTCATCCTTTTCTCCCTATTCATCTCCCTTTCTCTCACCTTTTTTATCACCCTTTCTTATCTCCCTTTTCTCACCCTTTTCCTCCTCCTTTCCCCCTTTATCGACTTTTTCATCTCCCTTTTTCTCATCCTCTTCATCTCCCTTTTTCTAACTTTCTTATCTCCCTTTTCATCACCCTTTCTCATCTCCCTTTTTATCACCCTATTTACCACCCTTTTATCTCCCTTTTTCATCACCCTTTCTTATCTCCCTTTTCTCATCTCCCTTTTTCTCCCCTTTTCTCATCTCCCTTTTTCTCTCCCTATTCATCTCCCTTTCTCATTTCCCTTTTTCACCCTTTTATCTCCCTTTTCTCTCTCCTTTTCTCATCTCCCTTTTTTCTCCCCTTTTCTCATCACCATTTCTCTCTCCTTTTTTATCACCCTTTTCTCTCTCCCTTCTTCATCACCCTTTCTTATCTCCCTTTTTCTCATCTCCCTTTTTCATAACCCTTTTCTTCCTTTTTCATCACCCTTTTCTCATTTCCCTTTTTTATCACCCTTTTCTCTCTCCCTTTTTCATCACCCTTTTCATATCTCCCTTTTTCTTATCTCCCTTTTTCATCACCCTTTTCTTATCTCCCTTTTTCTCACCCTCTTCATCTCTTTTTTTATCACCCTTTCTCATCACCCTTCCCCCCCCTTTTCTCCCCCGTTTTCTCATCTCCCTTTTTCATCACCCTTTCTTATCACCCTTTCTCATCTCCCTGTTTTCTCCCCTTTTCTAATCTCCCTTTTTCATCACCCTTTCTCATCTCCCTTCCCCCCCCCTTTTCTCATCTCCCTTTTTTCTCCCCTATTCTAATCTCCCTTTTTCATCACCCTTTTCTCTCTCCCTTCTTCATCACCCTCGTTTTCTCATCTCCCTTTTTCATCACCCCTTTCTCTCTCCCTTCTTCATCACCCTCGTTTTCCTCATCTCCCTTTTCAACACCCTTTTCATCCCTTTCCCCAGGGCACGCGAGGCTTCGAACGGCAACAAGGGAGAGCCAGGGAGAGCCTGCTCGGAACAAGAACAGTATTTCTCTGGCACTCTGATCGTCAGGCACTCTCAGACGTCGATAGTGCCAAGGTGCGAGGCTGGGCATTTCCGGCTCTGGGAAGGCTATTCGCTCCTCTACGTCGAGGGGAATGAGAAGGCGCATCACCAGGATTTGGGTAAGTGGTGGGGAAGGGGGGAGGGGGGGGGGAAGGGAGGGAAGGGGAAGGGGGGGGGAAGAGGGGAGAGAGTGATAAAGAGGGGGATAGGGGAAGGAAGGGGAAGAGGGAAGAGGGAAGAGGGAAGAGGGAAAGAGGATTTGGGTAAGTGGTGGGGAAGGGAGGGGGAAGGGAGGGGGGGGGAAGGAAGGGAGAGGGAATGGGGGGGGGAGGGGGGAGGGTGATAAAGAGGGGGATAGGGAGAGGGAGAGGGGAGGGAGGGGAAGGGGATAGATGGGGAAAGGGAAGAGGGAAGAGGGAAAGAGGATTTGGGTAAGTGGTGGGGAAGGGGGGAAGGGAAAGGGAGGGGTAGAGGGGAGAAGGTGATAAAGAGGGGGATAGGGGAAGGAAGGGGAAGAGGGAAGAGGGAAGAGGGAAAGAGGATTTGGGTAAGTGATGGGGAAGGGGGAAAGGGAGGGGGGAAGAGGGGAGAGAGTGATAAAGAGGGGAGAAGGGAAAGAGGGAAGAGGGAAAGAGGATTTGGGTAAGGTGGTGGGGAAGAGGGAAGGGGAAGGGAAAGAGGAAAGGGAAAGGGAAAGGAAGGGAGAGTGGAGGGAGAGAGGGAAAAAGGGAGGCTGGGCATTTCCGGCTCTGGGAAGGCTATTCGCTCCTCTACGTCGAGGGGAATGAGAAGGCGCATCACCAGGATTTGGGTAAGTGGTGGGGAAGGGAGGGGGGATAGATGGGGGGGGGAAGGGGAAGGGAGGGGGGAAGAGGGGAGAGAGTGATAAAGAGGGGGATAGGGGAGAGGGAGAGGGGAGGGAGGGGAAGGGGATAGATGGGGAAAGGGAAGAGGGGAAAGAGGATTTGGGTAAGTGGTGGGGAAGAGGGAAGGGGAAGGGAAAAGAGGATAGGGAAAAGGGGAGACGGTGATAAAGAGGGGGATAGGGAAAGAGAAGGGAAGGGGGAAGGGAGGGGGAAAGGAAGGGGAAGAGGGAAGAGGGAAGAGGGAAAGAGGAAAGGGAAAAGGGAAAGGAAGGGAGAATGGAGGGAGAGAGGGAAAAAGGGAGGCTGGGCATTTCCGCTCTGGGAAGGGTATTCGCTCCTCTACGTCGAGGGGAATGAGAAGGCGCATCACCAGGATTTGGGTGAGTGGTGGGGAAGGGGGGGGGGGTAGATGGGGGGGGAAGGGAAAGGAAGGGAGAGGGAATGGGGGGGGAAGGGGGAGGGTGATAAAGAGGGGGATAGGGGAAGGAAGGGGAAGAGGAAAGGGAAGAGGGAAAGAGGGAAAGAGGATTTGGGTAAGTGGTGGGGAAGGGGGGAAGGGGAAGGGAAGGGGAGAGGGGAGACGGTGATAAAGAGGGGGATAGGGTGATAAAGAGGGAAGAGGGAAGAAGGAAAGGGAAGGAAGGGGAAGGGGAAGAGGGAAAGGGAAGAGGGAAGAGGGAAAGAGGGATATTGGGTAAGTGATGGGGAAGGGGGAAAGGGGAGGGGGAAGAGGGAAGAGAGTGATAAGAGGGGAGAAGGGAAGAGGGAAGAGAGAAAGGGAAGGGGGAGAGGGAGGGCTCTTCGCTCCTCTACGTCGAGGGGAATGAGGAAGGCGCATCCCCAGGATTTGGGTAAGTGTGGGGAAGGGGGGGAAGGTAAGGGAGGGAAAAGGGGGGAGGGTGATAAGAGGGGATAAGTGGGGGAGGAAGAGGAAGGGAAGGAAGGGATGGGAAGAGGGGAAAGAAGAGGGAGAGGGAAAGAGGATTTGTAGTGATGGGAAGGTGGAAGGGAAGGGAAGGGGGAGAGAGTGATAAAGGACATGGGGAGTAAGGGAAAAGGAAGAGAGAAAGGGAGAGGAGAGGGAGGGGCTAATTCGCTCCTCCTACGTCAAGGAAATGAGAAAGGCATCACCAGGAGTTTGGGTAAGTGGTGTGGAAGAGGGGGAAGGGGGAAAGGGAGGGGGAGAGGGTGATAAAGAGGGGGAAAGGGAACACCTCCCCCCTCTCACACCCCCTCCCCCCATCACACCTCCCCCCCACCCCCACCTCACCCTCACCCGTGCCCTTCCCACCCGCCCCCCCCCCCCCCCCCCCCCCTCCATCTCTCCATTTGCGGCCTGGCCGGTTCCTGCGTCCAGTACGATGCCTTTCATGTTCTGTGATTTCAACAACTCCCATCATCTCCCCCTCGACCCCCTCACACCCCCTCCCCCCTTCCCCCCCTCCCCCTCCCCCTCCCCCTCCCCCTCCCCCCATCAACCCCTCCCCCCACACCTCTCACCCCCCCCC